AAAAATAATAAGTATTAGTTATGTGATATTATTTTAAATCCACTTGAGATTCAATAATCTACAGTAAGAATAATAGTACCAGTAATAGTAATAGTAACAGTATAATATTAATAGGTATTACTGTTTATAATTTTACCAAGTAATTTTTAAGTAGATAGTAATTAAAAACATAAATATCATTATAAATATTACATATGAAAAGTAATATGGCTAACATAAAAAATATCTGTTTTACATAGTGGCCACAAGAAATAGATTCATGGTTGCTTAAAAAAATAACTTGGATTTTTTTATTACAATATATATWGGTACCTGTTGAATAGCTGCTTTATATGATTGAGTATGCATCATATTGTTRYTCTGAGAAACTGCAAGTATATTATTAGGGACAGATATTTGGATAGGTTGTACTGCCGGTCTGATATAGTCTGGTTGACTTTCGATTAATGACTTAAAAGCYAAACACAAATCTGCTTTTGTAATATCGATGGTAGTTATTAAGCCTTTTGAAATTAAAAACTTTAACAACCCAAGTTATTTGTACTTTTTTATTGGACAATACCCGCACAATAAGTTGAGACAACAGTAATAACTCGGCATCTAGAACATGTTTTTGAACTTTAACTTAATATAAGGAATAAAATGCGAAAGATTTTTTCGATTTGAAGGGGAACATATAAGGAATATAAAATGAAAAAAAAAMCCATACTCACAGCGTCTGTTAACACCATACATAAGKTTCAAACATATAACTAAACAATTATTCTACATACATAAACAGTTTATTTTTTAGTTGCATTAATTGTCTCATCATAAGCTCTTATTGTTTTTATAAAGATCTGTGTTACAGTTATAACATTATTAATGCTACATATAATTTAAGATGWTACCTATTGCTTTACCTTCTCTGGTATTTACAGAGATTCCACCACCGTGGTAGACAGATCGAACGATTTTGCATAATTAATTTGTTTCGATCCCRTCCAGAAATTGTTTCAATAACCGTTTCTCACAATCAGAAGCCATTGGAATGGCAGAGGTAGAGACTATTCTATTCACACACTATACAGTATACACGTCCAACGTGATACCACAGAATATATGAAATATATTATACTATTTCATATGAAATACATTTCAAAATATTTGTCATGAGAGTATCATATCATGATTTATAGTAAATAAATAGCTAATACTAAATTATGCTATGAGACAAAATATCTATGCGGTGCTTAGAGGTTTTGAACGCGCCACACATCGAAACCGTTAGCTCGCGGGCACTTTCGACGGTTGCCACCTTACAACTTAACTTATATGCAATATAAGCTCTACAACACCCACCATCTGACGTTCGATCTATAATGCCTGCCGCCCAGTATGAGTGTGTGTGAGTGTGATCGTGATAACGACGTAGTCGACGTACACCAAGTCGACATTCGACAACGTCGTGAGATCATAATAGATGACGACACAATGTGAAAATACGTACGAAACTACGAAAACGGTGTGTAAATAGAACTCGGCGAGGTGAATACTTGATAGCGATTATATTGTTCAATTATTGTTGTTGTCATTACTCATAGCTCATAAGTCACAGTGGCGTAGTGCCCGTAATAGTGAGTGGCAGTGAGATAAAAGAAGAGAAGAAATAAAATAATAAAAAAACCTTTGCACTTTCCATCGCTCTTACCTTTTGACGTTCATCGGTATTAATTGCGTATTTCCCATGTAAAAATAAACTCATCGTCGTCGTCGCAAAGGAGAAGAAACCTTTCTGCTGTCTGCGATTGAATCGCTACCCAAGGTTCTTCATATATAATCATATCTTCGTCGTTGGGTACGTCTACACCACCACCAACAATCGACCATCCCGTCTAATCGTCTAAAGCAGTTTTGATCTGTTTTTCGCGACCTCAATGGTCGAGTGTCGCAAGTCCGTCCATAATATAAAATTCAAGACAAAACGACTAAGTGAACAACAGGTAAGAGATTTTTTAAGTGGTTCCCAACAATTGTGTGTGCGTAGTCGTTTATTGGCGCTCACTTAAAAATATATATTTGTTCTCAGTTATGCCTATTCAAGCTCCGCAGTGGACCGATTTCCTGGCATGCCCAGTATGCTGTAATGGTTTTGACATCAAGACCCGACATCCCATTAGTTTGGGATGCGCTCACACGGTGTGCAAATCATGCCTGTCAAATCTACCAAAAAAACAATGCCCATTTGATCAAGTGAGTTTGCAATTGTTTGTTTATTATSTTGACATTGTTTTCGATTTATGAATTTTGTTTTAAGTATGATTTATTTAATTATATATCAAAAGATTTTTAAATGTCACTCTTAAGCTTTTTACTATCTAACTTCTACATCAGTACTCGAGTTTAATGAATTGTTAAAGATAATGTTAATATGTATTATTAATGTTGAGTACATTTGAGTTTAAAATAGTTGGGCTATGGTCCATTACATCAGTTTATATATAAATATATAAATTGCACTTGATTTTATCAGTCTTTGTTTAACACATTTGTTACAAAAAAGTAGGTATGGTAAATGATATTCTGATTTGTTATAAATTGTGAATATCAGCTGCCTTTTGGTTATTTCAGTTTGTGTATAATATACTAAACGTATTATGCAAAAATAATTATGAATTATGTGGCCAAATATTTTTGTTTACATAGTATTAATGTGAAGTGTTCCACCAGATATAGAACCTAACAATACATTTGAATAAAAACTGAAAATTTTCTTAGAATTAATATATTAACCAAGTATCTATTGAGATATAGTTTAAATGATATCACACAAACTCATATTGAGTATAATAATGGTGAATATTGAAAATAAGTTAGTATTAATAAATATACTTTGTTCTTTCCGTATGTTATTATTTAAATTTAAATAATTTAACTATTCAAGTTTAAAAATATAACAATTCTAATCTACATGCCTAATTAAAACTAAGGTTTATACTTAAAATACATTTTTTTGCTCTATTAATCTTAAAATTTAAATTTGTTTATAGTAATAGTTAGTTATTATTCTTATCCAAAACTCTTTCTATTTGTTAGATATCTACCTATTCCCTATATTATATTAATTTAGATGTGTTTTATTTTTAAAAATCCTTTTAATTCTTTCTATGATTTGAAAAGCTTAGTCATCAAGTAAATGTCTTTATATCTTTGTATTTGAAAGCATTGAATCTATTGAATGTTGATTATGAATATTAAGGTGTATTYTTTATTAGTTATATTTTCTTTAATTCGTGAAGATAATTCTAAAAATAATGAAGCTCTGTGTGTCTTCTCTTTTGTTATTAAATGGATCTTTTGTTTGTTTGCCTCAGTGTATAAAATAAGTATGTCACAAATTAGTATTTGTACCTATTATACTCATCATTATTTTATAAAATATTTATTTTTACATAAGACCATGTAGATAATTATTTATTTATTTTTAATTAAATTATAATACAGCATTGGTAACTTTATGTTCAAGAAGAAAAACAATATATATAATTTTGAAGTATTAAAAACCAATTTAGTGTTACCGTATTTGAAGGACAATTTTTTGTATAATAAATAACAAATACAATTTGGTGAATACTTCATAATATATTCTCATATTTGATTTTAGTGAACAAGTAATAAATTATTGTTGTATAATTAAAATTTTAGTTATTTAAGTTATCAAAAAAAAAAAATTTACCTTAAGTCATTAGAATTAATTTTTGTATTTGATACAAATTGTTATAATTTTTGTTTTGTTTTGGGTACAMTTTGTTTAGTTAAATACATTTTTATTTATTAACATTTTTTTTTTTACAGAATTTAATAAACATAGAAATTGATCAACTTCCAATAAATTATGCTCTACTTCAGTTGGTGGGAGCATCAATACCAAACACTGAAAACATTCCAAAATCCATGTTAAAGAATATGTCATCTGATGAACGGCTGCTATATAATAAATCAAAAAAATGTGTGGAACATTTAGCATTATACCTTAAATCATTTGCAACTGGTATATATATATTTTTAATTTGATACACTACAATTTTTAGCACATATAAATATTTTAATTAACTTATTAGGTGGTGGTCAATCAACAAGTTCTGGACTTTCGCGACCTATGCAGCGTAAATTGGTGACTCTAGTTAACTGTCAACTTTTAGAAAACGAAGGTCGTATGAGAGCCATAAGAGCAGCTAGATCTCTAGGTGAGCGTAGTATGACAGAACTTATACTCCATCATCAAAGTGCTCAACAACTGTCTACAAATTTATGGGCTGCTGTTCGAGCTCGTGGTTGTCAGTTTTTGGGACCAGCAATGCAGGAAGAAGTTTTAAAATTGGTACTACTAGCTTTRGAGGATGGTTCTGCATTATCTAGAAAAGTCTTAGTAATGTTTGTTGTTCAACGATTAGAACCACATTTTCCTCAAGCATCTAAAACTAGTATTGGCCATGTAGTTCAACTACTTTACAGAGCTTCATGTTTTAAGGTATGTTCATTGCTTATTATTTGAGCAAAAGTTAATACCTATTACAAATGTTAGCTTATACTTAGTATTGAATATTAGGAACCATGTTTTAAGTACTGGAAATAAATGTTAGTTATCATCCCCTGTAACATAAAAACATGAAATAATATTTTTAAATTTAAAATAATTTGTTCCATAATTTTGTATCATATTTAAAAAAACAGAAATACATTTTATATAAAAGTACTGGTTTCTTCATATTAAAATTGAATGTTGGGTTTCTCAGATATACTTGTAATTTTTGATGTAAAGTATTCTTTTATAGTTAGTCTTACTGGTTATAGACATTAATTATCATTGTAATTCATAAATTAAAACGTATGCTTAATATAAATTATGTATTTTATAATATTTTGTTTAGTCTATTTGTGTTATCTAAGTTTCAAATTATTTGTATTTATGATATTATTAGTTTTGACTTTTTATCGTATAAATAATTTTATTAGGTTTCTAAGCGTGATGGTGATTCTTCATTAATGCAGTTGAAAGAAGAGTTTCGTACTTATGAGAGTTTAAGACGTGAACATGATGCCCAAATTGTAGAAATTGCTACTGAAGCCGGACTTCGCATAGCACCTGACCAATGGTCAGCACTTCTTTATGGTGATTCAGCTCACAAATCACACATGCAAAGTATTATGGATAAGTTACAAAGTCCTCAGTCGTTTTCACAATCTGTCCAGGAACTTATTATAGCTTTACAGCGAACTGGTGATCCAGCTAAATTATCATCGTTAAGATCAAATTTTGAACTTTTGGCTGCAGTTGACCCTAATCCTAGTGAGATTTATGCTTATTTTGAATATTTGAATCCACTATAATTTAAATTTTATTCAACATAGGTCTGGAATGGTGTACTTGGGAAAAATTGCATTCTGTTCTTGAAAGTGCTAGAATAGTAGTAGCAGGTTTGACTGATTTTGTCAAGTCCCATGGAAATACTAATAAAGGATTAAAAAACGAATCTATACAAAACCAAACAAATGTACCTAGGTATAAAGTCAGCTTATGCCGAGACTTAATGATGCGAGGTACATGTCCAAGAGGTGGTGGTTGTACATTTGCTCATTCAGAAGAAGAATTAGAAAAGTAAATATTACTCTACATATTTAGGTATTCATATGTATAATTCTTATTTTATTCTTAGATATAGGAATAAGAACCGGAAGAACAGTCGATTAGCACCAATGATTGTTGATCATGATTATTTGACAAATAAACCAAATTTTATGCCAAAARAACAGTTTGATTTTATCCATAATAAAAAACCAATGATGTTGCCTGAAAGTACCATCTTAAAATATTTTAATTTTTAATATATGTTTGTGTTTTTTCTTTAATTGCCTAAACACTTTTCAGATACTCAAGAGTTAACTCCTATTCCTGTAGAACATTCATATATTGTACCAGCTGGTCAGAATTATTATCAGAATAGTCAACAACAAATATATCCTGTAGGACAATATGGTCATGAAATGTATGGGTAAGAATTATTAATAAATAATATTTAATTGATGCCTCATTTAGTGATATTGAGTTTGAAAACAAAATTAATGTACAAATATTTATCTAGTCCTGGACCACATCCACATGGTATGCTAATAAATCCAAACAATAAAATGTATATGGATCAAAACATTCCTGGCCATTCTAATAAAATGGTATGAAATGAATTGTGCACTATATTATAGTAAATTGTAATGTTTCATGTTAAAAAATACTTTGTCTTAGAAAAATTTATCGTCAAGTTTAATGTCCCTTCAGAATCGCAAACAAGAACTTATGGGGCAAATAGACAGGGTAATGACAGCATGTTCTATTACACCGGATCAAATGGTATGTTATTTTTTTTTAATCACATAAAATCAATAGAGAAGCAAACAGTTACTATTATAATTACTCAATAAATGCCTGTCTCATATTAAAGGATTTTGATCGTTATTCAATGTGGGATAATGGATTATTTCACACTAAAACAGGACTGCCTTCTCCAGTCAATATTCAAACTGGACGACCCATGTTAATCAGGTAAGAAAAATATATGTTTATTCATTTGTACAATAATTTTCACATTTATATTATATAACTATTACCTATACATTTGTTGGGTTCTGATTCTTGCATTTTTTAACATTTATCAGTGATTGACATGGTTTTAATGCTATTTCATCAGATGAATAATATAATTTCATCTTAATGGGATTTTTAAGCATTTCAAAACGTTCATTCCATATGCATTTCTTGTGATTGACCTATTTTTAAAATTTTTATTAAAGTTTGATGACAATTAACTTTTATATTTATATTTTTACAATTKAAAAATAATTCTTTACTACTCAAAAAATGAATCCAAAAATTACTTTTGTTTTGGTTTTTCTTAATTAACCTCCAAGAATTGAGCTTATTGAGGCTAGTTTTTGTAGAAGCCAATAGTTTATTTGCACTTGGATTGTTCATAATTTCTTTTCAATTAAAACAAGTAGTTAAATAAAGAAATGTAGAACATAATTTTAATTACATTTTTGAGTAACTAAAAAGATAAATGTATGGTTACTAATGTTACTACTGTCTATTAGTAATAGCCATTATATTATATTTTTTATTTATTTATTATAAATGAAAATGACATATTTACAATTATATTTATATATAGGATTTCTTTAAAAAATCAGTTATTTCTAGAGAAGTCAATGTGTTATTATTGCCATATCATATGAATTAATTATATTATAATTATATTAATTTAAAATGTAGTTAAATGAAATATATTCCATGTTCTTTGTTATTATTTTTCTCAAATTACACAATTGTAGAAATGTTGTTAACCATGTATATTAGGTAAATAGTGGCATAATAATGAGCGTGTGTTGAGGGAGAAGGTACTAAGGTAACTTTACTCTGTTCTACCAGAGAACATATTGTGACTCAACCAAAATCAGTTTTTCTATGCATCTATATTCTACATGCGACACCATGCCATAAGGTAATTGGTGTTTCGGTAGAATGATGACGCACGGAAAAACTCAAAACCAATATGTTAATCTTTTGTCAAACAGAGTATAATTCTGCTAATACCAACGTYTAAGTATGCTATTATTTGTAAAAAATGAAAAAACTATTTTTAATATCMTACCTAAAAGTTTTCAATAAGTATTAAAATCCATGTTTTTGACAGGTCTGATTCAATATTGGCAGATCCAGATGAATTTGTGCCATTTGAGTTGGCTGTTAATGGAAAGTATGGACCTATTGGGGGTAATGGTAGTAATCCTGGAGCACCTCCTCCGCCTCCACAATCATCAACAGTAGTCAACAACAACCAAGCAATTGGAGCAAAGAATGGCAAATCGTTGCGTAGACCATGTACATTGTCAATACCAGCACCAGCTGCTGCTGCTGCTGCTGCTGCTCAAGCCCAATTTTTCAGCTCTACAACTACTACGACCATAACCACACCATTAGGTACACTTCGTGGGGCACGAAACAGTCCAGTAGCCGCATCTTGGTACTTCAATTCACCTCAAGGTTACCCAGCCGCTGCACATATTGTTGCGTCACCTGTTGGTGCAATTGGACAGAGTTATATCACTATACATAGTCCAGCTGGTATCATGGAACCACCAAACTTTTTTGGTAGTCATAAAGCTCCCAAAAGGTCAGTAATTAATAGATTATTAATGATATTAATAGTTGTTGGTATTGTTACAGTGTATGATCACATATTTTATCATTACAGCTTAATAGCAGAATCACATAAAATGAAAAACCAATTGAAAAATTTGGAAAAAAAAATCAATGATCTTAAAGTAATGTCCTTCTCAACATTTTTTTACATTTGTATTAGCAATAGTAGCAATGTCATCCTAATTAATTCTTTTTATAGCTTGCTACTCATAATGTGGCCGCTAAAGAAACCGATAAATTGACTGAAGAACTGGCGCAAATCGAAAGAGACATTCAAACAAAAGAACAACAATTTTTGGTGAGTTTTATTTTTTACATTGAGTTGAAGTCCTCACATAGTATAATATTAAAATTAGTCCAAGAWGCATTAATAATTTTTGAAGTTCTTAAAACTTTAAATGTATATAGAACAATACCACTAATAATTTATATTATTTAGATTTAGGTTTAGGTTATGTTAAACTATAAAATGTCTAGCATTTTTAATTGAATTTGTCAGCTCTACATTTAAATTAATCAGTTAATCAACAATAGTATAATTGCTTCATTTTTATTTTAAGACACAATGGCATTCTGAAACAGCCACAATAACCACTTGGGGCGATGGTATCTGGTCAAGTACAACTTCTACTGGGTTTACCACTCAACAAGTAAGTTATTAATGGGGCTCATAAGTTCATGCACTAAAAATTGGCAAAATATGCATTGAAATAAGCACTAAAAAATTCAGAAATATACATTTATATGCACTAACATTTTTAAATTATGCTCTTAAAATATGCATAATGCAAAAAAAAAAAAATCATAAGCAAATATTGAAAAAATTATATATATTTATTAATTGGTTATTTTTATAAATTAAATAACACTCATTGTATTTAATTCATATACCTTGTAGAATTCAAAAGTTTGTCATCTTTACCAATTTTAATTAATGTTTGATTATTTTTACAAATATTAATTGTTAGATTTTCAAATGTAGGTACTTTTACTGTGGAGGATGGTAGTGGTAACAATAACATTGTTTCCTTGGTACTGCGTAAGATACATAAAACCGATATAGTCGTACAAGGATAAAAATAAATTGAAACAAATACTATAATTTTGAAAACGGGAAAGTAAATTAGAAAAAAAAAAAATTAGATATTGATTTGTTTAAACATCTTATTTTATGAGATAACATGCACTAATTACTAAATTACTAAAAAATAAACATGCAAACACGTGCACTGTTAAACTTTACATTTTTATTATTAATTTTATTATCAAACAGATTTGTATCTCAGTTAGTATGTTTTCCTGTGTTACAAGAAAAACATGCAAATGCATGAACTTACAAGTCCTGGTTATTAATTATTATTTTAATTTGTTTAATATGTGTTATATTAAAATATATTTATAAGTATAATCTTACAAAAATTAATTTTATTTTTATTTCTATTCCATAGGACGACGCTTACAACAGTAATGGTGTAAAACAAGCTGAATTAAAATGGGATGGTGGTGAAAAGAAATCAGAAATATCTGTGGTAGAAGAAGCTTAAAGTCATAGTATTAATCTTGGTGCACCATATCTTAACTATTGTAATAATATATTATTCATAATATATTTGTACTTCGTGAATTTTACCATTTTTTTCGCCAAACAACACAATGCTTTATAATTATTTGGAATAATGTGATATTTGTATTATTATTATAGTTATTATTTTTAATAATGTTTATGTTTTTTTGTAGGTTGTAGGACATGACATTTTATTCTTGTATTTTATTATTATTTTTTTTAACGGTCAATAATTAGACCAAAAAACAATGAACACATTTAATTAACTCTTGTATAAGTAACAATAATTTGTTACAATATTTTGTGATTTATTTMTTTTTTTTTTAATCATTATGTTATAATATTTAATTTTAAATTACAAATATGCAACTGAACTAAAATTCTCATAGTTACCATAATGTTTATTGCGATAAGTGTTTATTATATTATATCCTATTTTAATATATTGTCAAATTATATTATCATGTTACACATGAGTTATTGTTATCTAGGAATATTATAATAATTGTATTTTTTTTATGCTATGGCTATATTGTAAAACTTTATTAACTACGCGATTATATTAATCTACTACATATGTTGAGGGTAAAATTATATTAGTTATTTTATTTTATACAAAACTTTTATTATGTAAAATTATTAATCGGTGGTATCGGTATCTTAACACTTATATAAATATTTATTATTATTGTTTTTTATATAATATATATATAAATTATATTTAATACACTTAATCTTATTTTATATATCATATTATGAAACATATTGATTTAAAAATTAATAGAAGTGGTTGTATTTGTTTAATGTCGTTTATTTGCATATTAAATATTCTATATCAGGGGTGGCCATTAAAACTACTAGTATCTAGGTGGCTACTAGTATCTTTATTTGTAAGTTGAAGTTACCATAATTGTTTATTTAAGTTACGTGTTGAGTATATGACTGTATTAGTGTATAGCATAAAGTAAAAATCAATAAATGATGACAGTAGAGGAGTAGTAATGTTCACATAGAGCCTCCTCTGCTGTTGGTTTTAACAGAAAAACAAAAAAGAAAGAAAGAAAAAAGCACAGCACGGTTAAGCCCTTATATTTTAATCCAGCATGGCCCTGGTACAATATGTTGGGAGAAAGCCCAGTCCAAAGTTTTTGTAGTTTGATTTAAGGAAATTAAATTTCGACACGGCCCATAACTTTTATTTCAAGAAAATCTGGTTGGGCCGATTCTGGACYGGTCTGGGTAAGCTCGGCTGGTGCAGGTATTTAGTGGCCACTAAGCTTAATTTTGCGAGCCGGATTTTAATTCCAAGTTAATAATTCAAAGCGAGCCACGTTGTTAAGGTATGTGTATAAACTATGAAATAAACTATAAAGACACATTTTTTATTTTATAAAAGATTAAGAAAATTTATTTTTACAATACATAGACCCATTGGCGTGTGCACGAAGGGGGCAGGGCGGGCAGCTGCCCCTCCTGCGGGCTAATTTTTTTCTACTAAATAAGGCTTTAAAAAAAAAGCATTATAATATAATTTTATATTACAACGAGTCAATGAATAATATATTGTAAATATTGAGTATACGGCGCACGATAATTTTGTGTTGTCAAAGTTCAACTTTGTTCAAACCACAAGCGATCCGCGTTGATAATGTATGTTAATAGATACGCGGAAATAATACTAATAACCAAAATAATATTCAATTATATATTATAATATTATATAGTATATAATATATTTAATATACTATATATTATTAATAATACTGTATATAATATATACATTCTGCAGCTCCCCCTGTCAGCAAGATCTGCGCACGCCTATGCATAGACCATTACTATTCAGGTTATATTTTTGTATAGGTATAATATGATAAAGATAATATAGATGGTTTTATCTTATTATCTGCCATATATGACTTACATTATGAATGCTTTGATTTTTTTTGGACATTATTATCATAATATATTACACCAATTATACTTTTATTTTTTTTAAATATTGTGTCATAATATTAATATGTTATATTATATTCTATAATTTTATGAATACTTTTATTTTATTTACGACCAATATTAATATAAGAACGACAATTTTATTTATACTAGAAAATACCTACATAATATTGTGATGATGATGTTTATATACTATTACTATATATAGACATATAATATATAATATATATATATATATATATATATATATATATGTAATATATACATTATTGTATGGCCGCAATTCGTACGTATCTTTCATAAATCCGGGCCGCAACTCGTACGTACCTCTCATAAACCCGGGCCGCAACTCGTACGTACCTCTCATAAACCCGGGCCGCAACTCGTACGTTATTTAGGGTTTGGGCCGCAACTCACCAACACTGGTTAAAAATTAGGAAATTGGTCAGGTGTAATATTTAAATCTTTTTTTTTTAAAATAATTTCCTCAGTGATATTTAAATAATTTCCTCAGTGATATTTAAATAATTTCCTCAGTGATATTTAAATATTTTCACCGATTGTCAGGTACGATGACCTGTAGGTACTATAGAAACTATGAGTGTGAGGGTGTAAAGCGTAGAGAGAGATAGTGTTAGTGTGTGTGTGAGAAAGAGGAAGGGGGTAGAGAGAATAGGGAGTGAGTGACAGTGAGTGAGATAAAGGGTGTGAGAAAGTAGGTGGAAATTGGAGAGGATGAGAGTGGAAAACTGGGAAGTGATGGGAGAGGGGATGAGATAAACGGTTGGTGAAGGGGATAGTGTAAGATAGTGGGTGGKAAAGTGAAAGGGTGAGAGAGAGACAGAGTGAGGTTGATAGGGAGTGAGAGATCAGGGGGATTACTTAGGTAGAATAGTTATGTCATCAATGCCGAATACGTAGAAAAGAATCTTAAAATACAAATACCCTATAATAATATAGGTAATAACCCTACAAATTGTCTACACAAAAATAAACTATGGATATATTTYGATTGGAAAAATGGAAAGGGAGTAGTGGTGTCCGCAGGCAATTAGTTCAATTCAACTTTTTTCATAGCTATAAAAACGTATGTAAAAAAAAATCAAAATTGTCTAATTTCTGCTCAACTTTGCACCTCAATACGATTGGTGCAAAGTAACACAATTATWATGTATTATACAGAACAATAATAGATATTTGTTTTTTAGGATGCCCAAGGTACACAAAAGAGCAGTTGGCTCACGACAATATCATGATTACACAGAGAATATGAATACATACTCGTAGAAACATTATACCCTGGGCTCATTATTAGTACAACTGAAGAAGGTGCTATTATACAATCAATGGAAATATCTAAAACATTTTRCAGATGGCCGATGAAACCAGATGAGTTGTTCTACGACTGGAAAGATGTTATTATGAAAATAAATACTCCAAAATTGATTAAAAGGGGCTATTTTAAGGTGAAAGAGTTAGAATCCTATTATGAATAAAAGCCATGGTTGACAGTTGTTTTTATTATTTAATTATTTTTGTTATTTAAAAGAATATTTAAATTAATGTACATATTGAAAAATGATAGGTAAGTTAACCTATTTAATTTATTTTAAGACTGTTGAATTAAAAACAATCTATACAAGCTGTGATAAAAACATACCTGATTAATTAAAAGTTTAAGTCTATTTTTATTGTTAAGTTTTATAAAAAAAAGTGATATGAACTACCAACTTATATTCCTTTATAGATTAAAAGTTTAATATTTTAAGTTTTTATTTTTCACATTTTATAAAGTTGAAAGAATACATTTATGTTAATTAATAAAAAAGAAATGTTATGAAAAAATGAATATTTTGTTATTTAAATTATGCCTTTTTTTTCTTAATTGTGTTCATTTTGGTCTTTTACACAATATAGATTAGGAACTGTGTATCTAACATTACACCAGTTTTGTTTATAACTGAATTTAGGTGAATTTTTGATATTGGTGCAAAGTTWYACAACACCACATATAACTTTGCACCAAATAAAAAATAAATTTTTAAGTTGATCAAATTTTATTTACACAGRATCATTCTTAGTATATGCAACTAGAGGACCGTGAAACAAGTAAAATTCTATCATAATTATTAAAGTGACAGTGTATGTTTTTAAGTTAAGAAAACAAGAAATTTGGTGCAAAGTATCCCCAAAATACACGGTATGAAAAGTAATTTAATATTCAGTATAAAAATGCTTTTGAGTATTCGATTGATTAAAATTCATAATAAACATATTATTATAAATTCTGTTTCTCAAAATATTTTTTTGAGGTATTCAAATTTAAAATAAAGTATTTGAATTCTTTTATTTAAGTACTTTAGAAGACTGGACTTTAACTGTGATTAAAATAATAAACTTGGAAGTAGGCATGATTGTAAGTAAAATTAATAAGTAATAACTCTAGAGCGAGGACTTTTATGTACTAAAAATTCATCAAATATATGCAGTTTAAAATTACAATTTTTGATGTACTTACCATATGTAATTTGTTACATTATATGTAACATATATTATATATATATATATATATATATAAATTGAAAAATAAATAATTAAACACTCAGTACAAATGTCATATTTAATGTATTTTATAATTATACCTTGATTCATGAAAATATTTAGCTAGGGCACCTTCACAAAAAAAAAAATAGTTTAAAAAAATATAAAAAATGCATAAAAAGTCCTTACTCGAATAATACGTAAAGAGATATCTAAATAATAAGATTCGTAATAGTAATTTGTCTTGGTAAAAGAAAAACAACTTTTGTATTTGGTTACGGTTAATAAGAATTATTACGTTACGAAATTGAAAGCAACCTCTATTACTTGTTTTAAAAAATTAATCCGAATCTTTAGTAATAGGTATTGGAAATAAATAAGATCTAGTGAGAGGTGATTTTTTTGAGAAATGCAGTAATTTTTAAACATCTTATTTTTATAGGGTATTGGAAATTATAATAGTCATTTACTTTTTTCACTAGTCTAATTGAATTTTTAAATTTAAAATTTTGAATATTTGAAAACAAAATTATAGTCGTTGCGTATGTATTTGTTACATATTCAATATTTTAAATGCCATACGTATTGTAATTATA